AAGGCATATGTGCCTTACGTTAGCGCTGATGAAGATTAACTGCTTTCATAAATACTATGCAAAATGTGTAAAGAGCCAGGAAAAATATTGGAAAGATGTATCCACTTGGCTCTGTGTGGGAAGCGCCTGTGCAGCTCAGTCTTTTTGCAAAGCACAGAAACTGCTTCTTGTGTGGATTAACTGAGCATTTCCACAGTAGATCTATTATTTTTATTTCTTTGTGGCTTATTCTTTGAATCACTTAGCTTAAATCCATATGATTTTAAGTATTAGATGATTTCAAAGCAAGCCTATTTTGGATAGACAAGTCTTGTTTCGGGATTGCAGGATTCCAAACTGTGTGTGTATATATACAGTTAAAAGACTTAGGATTAATCCTGACTTGCAGAAATAACTCAATACCAATAATTAATTGGAATAATTCCGAAATTTTCTGGAAGCGTTACTTTTTGATCCAGTAAGCTATTTTATGCACTAGATGTTTCTGTCGTTGCACTGGCCCTCAGACATAACAATTATTTGTGAAATTAAAAAGAAATATTTAACCTAAAAAAAAAGTCAAGTTATGCAATAAAGCATGAATTTAAGCTGTTGAAATCAATGTAATTCTACATAAGGACTACTCTCTTGTTGGTAGAACAGGGCTTACTTTCAGTGTAGCTTATGTTGCTTTGGAAGCATTTTAAACTAAGCTCAAAAAGCCACTGTCCATCCAGAACAGTTGTTGGTACGTGAGACTTTACAACAGATGTGAAGTATTGGAGACTGGAGACAAAGTCTTGGGTGACATGACCGTGCACATTCCGCTGAGAGCCAATGAGCGGTCTTCAAATTTCTAGGTTTTATTTTGTTGGGTTTTTTTCCTCTTTCAGACTAGAGAACTATCCTAGCATGTTGCTAAATATTTTTGTTTTGTAACATGTAAGAACATCACAACAAAATATATGCATTAAACTTTGTTATGACACCATCTGTCTGTATGAACAGGTTAATGAAACCACGGCATTGACAAACAGCACGTGCAAACTGGACATGTTACTTACATCACTAAAATGTCTTACGGTAAAATAAAATAAACTGTAATGATTTCTTGTTTCAATGCTATGGTGCAAGATCTTCTGTCACAGTAGACTCAATTTCAGTCTTTAATTAAAAAAAAATCTGTAATAGCCATGTACACATTAGGTGTTGTACAAAACACTTCTTTTTGTATTTGTTTGTTATACATTGTCAACTAAAGCAAAGACAGGACAGAAAAGAAACGGAAAAAAAAAAGCCTTACCCTCATGAAATGAAGAAAAGTTACCCATGGCAAAGAGATGTAAATAGGAAAAGCTGGATGAAAGATGTGTGGAAAGGAAAGTAAAGGCATCACTGAAAACAGGGAAAAAGAAAACAAAAGAAGAAGTGAGGAGAAATGGGGAATTGTTCCTCTTAAATAATATATTCTGAAGGCTAGTTTTCCAATGCTTTTTTGTAAAAATTGTGGAAAGAAGCAAAGGCATGAACAACAGTAGTAATAGCTGTCATTATATCTACAATCAGCAGTGATGTTGCTGAACAGGACTTGCACTTGTCAGTACAGATTGCAAAATTGTAATCAGTGCTGTATTATCATCAAGAAATATAAATGTCAAGTCACAACTCTGCAGAACATGCTAGTGAAATCAAGCCATGCGCTAACATCTACATAGAAATAACGTTTTATATATGCAACTAACAGAACATTATGCACAGTATTACACATCACCTCAGCCTTGCTCAAGCATTTGTGACTTTCCTGATCGGGTGAGAATGTTTTTAAAGGTGTTTTTAAAGGTGTGGGATTTTCTGGTTAGACAACACTGCTCCACTGATGGAATATTACTTAGAAAATAAATAGAAAAATGCCTTTTCTGAGAAAAAGCAAAGTTTAACACATTGATCCAGCAGAATAGGGGACCTAGACAAAATACAAGTTTTGAACCTGCATTCCCCAATCCCCCTCTGCATACTGCTTCTCAATTGTTGATGGAATTACTGATTTTGTTGTTGCTGATCACTTGTTTGTTTTTTGGGAGATGGCATATGGAAGGACGCTCTATCTTCTCTCTCTCATCGTAAAGGTTTGGGACTCATCATGATAAAGAAAAGGAACCAACTTAGAAATCCTTAAAAAGGTTTCACAGAATGGAAGACTGCTCTCCACCCAGCTTTAGTATGGTTTGGTTTTATAACGAAAACAAACTGTCTCTCCAGTGCTTTTGTACATCTTTCTGCTTTGAATGAAAGAACAAGAGCTTTAGACTGGCTACAGGATGTAAGCACTGAGAACATGACAGTCATTATCCAGCTTAACATCACTAGCGCAAAAAAGCCAGGAAAGTGCTGTAATATTCATTTTCAGTCCTGGATTCACCACCAGTACTTAGCATAAGCATGAAAGAGGATGAGGCAACTTGCAACTGACTGCTGCTATTTCCTCTGTCCTCCCCGAGAGCTCCAAGAGCCTGGGAACGGTGTTGGGGCTAATGGAGGAATAAAGAGGAACCTAGTAACCAGAATGGTTATACACCTGAGCTGCTGCAAAGGCCATTTAACTTCCATTTTCTTCAAAGGCTACTGCTAAGCTCCACCTTGTCTGCCACATAGGTCCACTCTAATTCGTGATGTGAATTTGGATTCCTGAAAAGACTCCAAATGACTAGATTTAATCAGATCCATTTTGACCGGAAGGATGAACCTCAGAGAAGCTGAGGCTGTCTTCCCCAGAGAGTACATGAGACTGGGGCAACACCAGTAACACGTACCACAGTTAAATATTATCTGGACTCACACTGCCCGATCCATTAGTGTTTTGGAACACTCTGGGACAACTTCACTCCTCAACCATCATTTTTACTAATAACTCATTTAGCCACAAGGTTTCTCCAACCCGTTGTTCTCTTTGTAAATAAATAAAAAATCTTACACATTTATCGTAAATCTTTCCAATTACACTGCCCCATAAACAGTCCTGAACTCCAAACCTCTCCTCATAGTAAAAGACATTAATCCAGTGGGAATTGTTTGGGCTTATTAAGCTTTAATGTATTGCTCTACCCTCTCTTAAAAGGCTGTTTATTTCTTTAACAATATTTTACACGAGCCATCAAAAGCCTCCTGAAAATTCCTATCAGTTATGATCTTTGGGTCCACTTTCATTTCCAAATCATAATTTATTTCTTTTTTTCTTTTAATGAGTTGTCCAACAGGCTAGAATGACATGATTTGCCCTTGTAAATGCCATTCTGGTTTGACCCTATCAAGTTATACTTATCTATGTATTCACACTATTTTATCCTAGGGCTCAATAGGTTCCCCTTGTTAGTGGTAACAGGAGGTCATCAGCTAAACCCTTTGCAACACGTTGTGTATGTGGTTTGATTTATGGACTCTTGTTGGCTCCTACTTTCCATTAAAAAAAACAACACAAAAAACCCCTACCTAAGTTCTGGAAATGAACAAAAATTATTATAAATCAAATTTCCTACCTAGCCTTTTATAGGTTGTTAAAAAAAACCCAGAAAAATACAAAACACACTAAGCTTTTATCCTGATAGTGATTCCAAGGAAACTAGCACAAGGATTAAAGAAGTTTACTTCCATCAGACCACTATATGCTATTTACAGTCATAGCTTTCTCTTTCAAGTAAGCAAAAGCTTACATGTTTTGAAGCAAATTTGTAAACATGCGTAACAAACACTAAATGGTAGAATTTGACTGCATTTCAATCCCATTCCTTTATATTAATCCCTGCAATAAAAATGTTCATGCAATTTATCACAAGCTTCTAACTTTCAGTGTTTATCCCAAATGAAAATCTGGAAAAAACATACTACTTGCTTCTCCAGAAGAATGTTACTATCATAAACCATAGCAACAGCAGAAGGTTAAAAAAAAGTAGACATATGGATGCTGAAAAGCTCATAAACCTATGTGAAATCAATTTAGCATTTTATCGTTACACTGCAATTAAAATCCATCTGTAACTTAAAGCTCTGCTTTCACGTCCGAAGAAAAGGCAGGTTTGGCTGTTCAAAGTATACTATTTTACAGAAAGGCTTTACTAATAAAGCAGTCTGGGTAGAAACCACCACACCGAAATAACATTTAATGCCACCAGAGAAAAGTAGTAATGCTTACACATTCAGGGTACCCTGGCTCTGCCTTTTACAAAAACGGGTCTCTGGCGGCACAGCTGCGACTCTGCGGAGGAGAGCGACGGCAGCAGCTGTCGCCGGCGTATTTCTAAGTAGAGGTAGAAGATGGCTGTCGCTGCTTTTGCTTACAGCCCTGGGACAGAGTCAGAGCACCTTGCTTTCCAAGTGCCACTTACTGCAGCACCCACCCCAGCAAACATCTCTCCTGCACTGCCAACTTGAGAAGGAAGGAGGGCAAGAGAAGACAGAAAAATAACCTAGCGTTACTCCTTTCCAGGTGATTTCCCGAGTAAACTGTTTGTGTTGCAGCAACACAAATTATTATATTCAAGAGAAACTTAGACTGCTTTTAATTGGCATTTGCAGTAAAATTTATTCAAATTGGCCCTGAATTGGGTCTCTATTCCTTTGTATTGGAAACTGTAAAGATTACTAACTGCACCAAAACCACAATCTTTTGCAGCATTAAAAATATGGCAGCACTAATATTACATCTGTTAAACTAGTATGACTTCTTATCATTGGCCTTCTCACTTGTTTCAGACTTTTAAACAGAAATAACAAAAGCCCTCCTATTCAAAATAGCTCACCATTCCACATTTCCTTTTTAAAAATTTTTTTAAACAGAAAACCCTAACAAAACTTTTTAAAGTAAAGCAGAAATGATCCTTTAATCCTGCAGTTAAAATTTGATATAAATGCACTCACGTTCATTGCCAAATCCTCAATCTGCCTTTCAGATCATAACAAAGTCACTAAAAAGCAGAAATTTACACCATGAATTTCTTAGGCAAACTCTAAAAAGCACTATAACTTACCGATGTCATTGCTTCTTTCAGAGGAGTCTTTCTCTAGAGTGCCGGATACTGTACTGCCCACTAATTCCACTTTTGGACTATCACTCCTGCATTTGGATCAAGAAGAGGAGATAGTTTATTGGAGTTTTTGTGTGGGTTACAGTAAATTGATAGCTAACTTGCAATTAATAATGAGAACGAAATATTCTTCCTTTGTAGCACCAGAGTAATAGCAATGTGTCAGAGAGAGCAATCTCCAGTAAGTAGACATGCTGTATGGATTAACCTTATCTCATTTCTCCTTAACACCTGTCAAAAAAGCCTATTTTAGACACCGTAGTGTCCTGAATAATTCTTCAGATGTTCACAGCTTCTCAACATGAAGGAAACCTAAGGGCAAAGGGACATTCTTCAACATCCTATTTGTAATTTTTTCTAATTAATTGGTTTGCATAAACTATAGCAATGGACTATCTAGAATACTGCAGAAAGGGAGAGAACCTCAAGCTAGCATTGTGCGTTTCAGTGGTTCCTAGTATTTACTCATAAATGCAGCTCTTCCACTAAAAGAAGATTTTTTATTTTTGCATGTTGCTTATGAGATTAGGCTATGAATATTGTTTCCACAGGTCCAAAGAACCACGATCACCTAGTCTGTCTGAAAATGTCTTTGGAATAGGCAAGTGTCAAGAGTTCTGATACTTCATACAGAGGAACTATTTTTAAATCAAACAGGAGATCAAACATAAGCAACATGATTATTCTTTCATTGAGGAACCTTATATCCCATAACTGCTTCAGTTTACTAAAATAATCTGACTATTGAAGCAATTGATTAAAAAAGGGCCAGTGGTAGGCGAGTAGCTTGGCATTGCACAGGTCACACAGACAAATCCCTGTGACATTTACTGTGATAACACTGTTCAATTAATGCAATAAATTGTATTTACCATCGTTATCAGGTCACGTAACAAATACCGTAGTTTTTCCACAATGACTATTCCCAGTGTCGTGCTGTAACAATTACGATGTATGTAAGGTACCCAAATTATGGGTAAAAACATAGATTTGTCCCTGAAACAACCCAGGCAGATGTGCATTTCTATGAATGGCAATAATTAGCCATTACTAGTAAAATACATAGCGAGTTCCTGAATCTCACTGATTTTTTCATTTGTCTTTGCTTTTGATGCCATAAGCTGATGACAGATGGCCTGAACCTCAACTCATGGCAGCAGTTTATGAGCAAAACACAAAGTGGCTGGAAACCCTATCTCAGACTTCAGGAAGGCTGTGATAAAGAGCCTGAAAATTGGTGTTAAAAACCAGAGGAAGTCACAGATTAAGTGAACATAACTTGATGGCCTAAAAAACAAACTAGTCCTAGATAGCTATCAATATGGCAGCCAGTCTGCACCAGGAACGAAACAGAAGAATTTAACACATTCCTAGAAAAATGTATTAACTGGTGAGATGATAAATAAGAGTATTCTGCAAATGATCTACCTGATCAATTAGTTTTCTTATCTTTTGGTCTTCAACTTTTTTTAAAAAGTTGCTTATATATTTGTAAATCTGTAAGAAGCAACATAGTTTCCTGGCTGACAGGGCAATGAGCATCTGACTGCGTACTCTGTTTTGCACACATATGTTTCCCAGCAAACTAAAGAGCACGATGTGAGTTGGAAGCGCTCTAGGAAATGTGCGAGTATGGTTTTGGACGAAATTCTTATGATGGTGTGATTTAGGGCTGAAAGTCACAACATTTGACTACAAAAGATACCAGGATATATGACATCAACCCCACAAAAAACCCCAACTCTGTTGTCAAAAGAATCAACAGGTTTATTATGCCAACCTACATCCATACTGTTGTGAAAGGAGTAGAGCCGTCCCTTCTTGGTCACAGTGTCTCCCTCCCTCTGCTTGTGCCCATGCAGATAGGCTGTCAGCTTGATCAGACAGATGATCGGCCTGAAAGAAACCCCCCACTAATAGAAATCTCACTGCAAACTGATTAATTGCCATCTGGAGCAACTCCCTGACCCATATGGCTGAACGGCTGCACAAATTCTGGTGCTAACATAAGGGAGGCTGCAGGAACGGGCTGCCAGGAGAGGGAACCTGCCCCTGTTAGCAGCAGCATGGACACAGATTGGTTTAGACTGATTGTAAAAATGTACTTTCTGTGGGTCTTTATGGCTTGCCTACTCCAGAGAATTGACTCATCGGTAAATTGTATAATCACAGGTATGTCTAAATAAGCTGTGAAGCCTTCGGAGCAAATTGACAACTATTCTGTCCCACATGGTTTTTGTCTCTCCTATTGCCCTTGAAGCCCTATCCTGCCTCCAAGGAAGGAGGATTATATTTAAATGGAAAAACAATCATCACCACAAAAAGTCAGTGAGATGCGCAAGATGCAAGCCACTTACTCAGAATGGAAAAAAACCCTCTTCTGCTAACTAGCAGCCATGGAAATCTCATGGGACTCACTTTATAACTACAGCAATTTTTCCCCCTAGGATCATGTACTGGTTTTGGCTGGGAGAGAGTTAATTTTCTTTAGAGTGGCCCACATGCTGCTATGTTTTGGATTTGTGACCAAAACATCCAGATGTTTTAGCTATTGCTGAGCAGTGCTTACACAGACTCAAGGCCTTTGCTGCTCCTCACCCCACCCCACCAGCGAGGAGGCTGGGGCTGCACAAGGAGTTGGGAGGGGACACAGCTGGGACAGCTGACCCCAGCTGACCAAAGGGGTATTCCATACCATATGGCGTCATGCTCAGCATATAAAGCTGGGGGAAGAAGAAGGAAGGGGAGGATATTTGGAGTTATGGCATTTGTCTTCCCAAGTCACCGTTACAAGTGATGGAGCCCGGCTTTCTTGGGGATGGCTGAACACCTGCCTGCCATGGGAAGTAGGGAATGAATTCCCTATTTTGCTTTGCTTGCACACGCAGCATTTGCTTTATCTGTTAAAACGTCTTTATCTCAATCCACGAGTTTTCTCACTTTTGCCCTTCCGATTCTCTCCCCCATGCCACTGTGGGGGAGTGACCGAGTGGCTGTATGGAGCTGAGCTGCCTGCCGGGGTTAAACCACAACAGGTCAGCAAAAATTCTGCTGGCTCAATTTTTATTCTAATTGCCTTAGGTTTTTGAGATTCTGGAAATGGATACCAGCAGGTCTTAAAAATATTTACTATCTTATTAAACTGAACTGATTCAAAATCAAAACGCCTTTATTGAAGTGAATACTTCCATTTGAAGTTTCACATTTCTTAATTAATTCAAGTAATTCAAAGTCTATTCCATGGATTATTTCATTATGTGAACTTTCTGCCCTCTTCCTATAAGACATGCTTACAAGTTAGAGCTTATCAGGCATAACAGCTGTATGAGATAAATCCATTAATTTGAAATAGCTGATAAAAGTAATTCATAGGGAAACTGCTAGCACTGTGATCATCAACATGCATCATCATCACCTCAAAAATCACCTTTCCTTCTAAATTTTAATCTAACTACTGTGACAAGTAAAATTTTTTCAAATATAATGGTATTAGATAAAAAGAACAAAATTTTTTTTTCTGTGCTAGACATAGTAGAGTTTGGACAATTAGGAACATAACAGGGTTACTGTTTAGATCTGGTTTTTCATGTTAACATGAAAACTGAGATATCTTTAAAAATGCACTGTTTATTTATCCAATTTTGTACTTAGAAAAAAGGAAAACAGAAGAGCAATAAAACACCCCTCCACAACTCTAAATGTTTAAAATATTTACAGCATGTTTAAAATATTCCAGGCAAAGGATAGAACAAAAGAATAGCTACCCCGTTGCATGCCTAGCCAATGAACTGAACACTAGGGTATGTATTGGTCTTGCCAAGAAGACATCACTTAGCTCAATCTAAAGGTCATAGCAAATACTTGCTTTTCCAAGCATGCCCAAGTGATCAGCAGGTGTGGACTATATCTTGGAACAACTGGACAAGCATGTTCAAAGCCAAGGAGTCCAAAAGAAGCTGTGGCAGTAGCACCTGGATAGGAGGGTAAGTTCTCAGAGATGCACAGCCAAAGCACTTCAGTAAGATGAAACTGGGAGCACAAGACAGGCACCATTTTTTTTATTTTCTGTGTCTCAGATTTCATACTGAGAGCATTTATTTAACGAACCATACGTGGAGGAATGAGGGGATCGATGCCTAGGATTTCTATTTTATTCCACTCTACCCTATATTCCTTTCTGCTATTTAATTCACCATTAGTATATTTGAACTCCAGTAGTTCAATGGCAGCTAATTTTTCTATCAGTACAATAATAAAATTATTTCTATGCATATATTCTAGTATTTCTGCAAGATGTGCAGCTGGCCCATTTTAGGCAACTGCTTTTTTCTGGTTTTCACCTATTTCTATCCACTATGCATAAAGGAAGTCTGCAGACTACAGTCTACAGTCTACAGACGCTGATGACTAATGTAGCCATCTAGACTTGATTAGGGCTACAGGCGAGGCCTTTAATTTCTACAGCCTCTGCTTTTCCAAGCTCTAGCAGAGATTAAATGGAGTTGTGTTGGCAAGTCTCAACTTGCCAACAAAGTTGGCCTCAAAGGCTGTAACCACCTCTGATAAAGAGCATCATGTAACTATAGAAAAACAACCAACACTAGAGCACAAATACTTGACAGCAGTATTCTGCAGTGGCACCAGCTTAAAGAACATTCTATGAAGACACATGTATTTGCTAAAAATTGATCTAAAATGACCAAAGAAAACAGACTGAAACCAAACTGTCAGTATTTGAAATGTGCATTGTCTAATGCTGTTCCTCAGTACAATCCAAGCTTTTGCACTGAGTTAGTGCCTTGGCTAAGCTGGAATAATAAGAAAGTCCACATCAGTACAACATACTGATGCAGCTATTTCCCACATATTCTGCAGTGGAAACTACGATGTTGCAATAACAGTGTGTTCATCAGTAGAAATGAACTAGTAATGAACAGTTGAAGACTGTAATTCTTGAGAAGACAGTTATGATCCAGCCAGATGACTAGAAGGCTTTTCTTTTTTTCTTTTTTTTTTTCTTTAAATACAGTTTACTGTGAAATAAATTGTGACATTAACTGTAAAATCTAAATTCTTTAAATGCGTGTTTTTTCCACTAATCCCAAAAGCACTGGACAGAGGAAAACCAATACCTTGTATGAGTCACAGGCACAACTGGTCTTTCTGGTCTTCTTGGGGGCAAGGTACCAGGTCTATTCACAGAGTTTGCTTTGGGTGGCCGAGGTTTCTTCGGAGGTATAGCAGGAACTGAAGGCTTCTGCAAATCTAACTGTTTTTGCTCTCTCTCTGATCTTTCTTTAAATCAATTATTTCCGGAAAAAAAAAACAGGGATATTATTAAGTGGAATTCATTTGCACTCACAAGTCTACAATTAAACAAGAAATCTTCAACTGTAGATACACTATATACAAAGAAAAAGCTTATCTCCTTTCCACTTATGTCCTAAATCATTCTTTATTTGAATAACATGTTTACCACAAATCAGCTGTTTGCCCTACCTGACTGTTCTGCCTGTAATTCCTCATGGCCGAAATGTGTGTGCAGTGTCTGAATGGGAATGCTATTTATTATTTGAGTAACTTACTGATTTCTGAGTGTAAAAAACAAGAATGACAAAAAATTACATACCACATGGAACAATTTCCCATGAGCACAACTTATATCAAATTCTAGTATGAAACAGTATTAAGTTAAAAGGTCACAAAGATAATTATGCTGGATATTCTTAACATCTCTTGAACAAACAGAGAAATCCCAGAGAATGTCTGGGGGGAAAAAAGTGTGTTTCAAGTGAACTACAGTTAAATGAAAATAAAAGCATTAAAATTTAGTGATGTTTGGCAGGATGTAAACCCCTCAGAAAAATCAGACCTTTTATTTACGTTTTTAAGCACAGACTTATAGCTGAATTTTTCAGCTTGCCAGTGAAAAACTGGATCATTTGCAGAACTGATTTGCATAGTTAGGAAGTGCCACAATACTAATATCCAATGCCAAACACGCAATGCCTGTGAGTATGCGAAGTACAATACACATGAATAACTCTTGTAAATAATATGCTCTAAATTCATAACACAAAACAAACATGTAAACACATTTGCCATATCATAGGAAACCTGATTCTTCTTAAAGAAAGGACAAAACTCTCAAAGGGACCAAAGTTTTGCTCTCTGTATCCTACTATGTCAACACCCCACTTCCCTTGACAACACTGTCTATGATATGTCGTGAATATTACACCTCTGTATGCATGTAAAAGGTATTGGGAATGTTACAGGGTATTGCTTAATGTGTTCTAGGTTTCAGTCTGAGAGGATCATGGAATAAATCACCAGAAACACAATCCACATTAGATTTGGAATAGTCCAGTTAGTGACTGTTGTTCACAAGCATACACCCTTTTATCAGTACACTTTCAGTTGATGCAATCGTTAGGTCCTCTGTAACACTGGAGCTTTTCCAGCATATTGTGTAATTTTTACACACTTACTCCTATGACAATTTATACTGCGTCAGTGTCCAAGAATCTAAACTATGTATGAGGGACGGGATACGCAGCATACCAAACACAGCATAAAGAATGTTCCTGTGCCAGCCCTGCTGCCACACCACACCGAACAATTCCTGCCACTCCCCGGTACTCCAGAAATGTAGGCATGACTCCTATGGCCTCTTTTCAACATTTAGAATAGTTACAGATATTTATACCCTGGGACAGTAACATATTTAAACTCCCTCCACTGTTTTGACAGTTGGCTTTGTAAATCCAAAAATGGAAAGCAAAGGGTTTTATTGCTAAGATAACCATGAGAAGTAGCACACACAGCCAAAAGTAAATATATGTAGACAAAAGTGCTAAAACACCTGTCAGATCACTAAGACATATATCCAGAAACAGATCTCGATGCAAAGTCTGAATGTTCTGGCACTAAATTATAACTGCATATTATATATTTAGTCATGTGCATACATGTGCCTTTTAAAAGACTGCAAGTTCGAATACTTAAAAGTTAAGAAATCCCATGAACCAACTTGTCTGTACAATCTAATAGTCCACTTAAACGTATGAAACTTGACACCATCTTCAATTAGAGAATCAATGTAACTATCTTCCCCAAAAAAGTTAGAATGCACAATGAAACCATTAAAGGTTTAATTTGCTTGTCACTGCTGTGTGTGGTACTGTGCCCCATTTCTTGCAATGTTCAAACCTGGCTTTGAAGACAGAATTTTTTCATTTCTTCTCAGGCTTGCCTATGACTTTTGTGACTATGATAATGGGGTGATTCATAAGCCTTAACGACTGTATCTTCCCAAAACCCCTCTGTGATGCAGGAAAACCACCAACCCTGCTTTTAACTAGAGAACCAAGTCATATAGATGTTAAGAAAAAAGTACACGCTAATCTGGGGTATCTTACTCGATCAAGGAGCTGGGTTTTACTGAGCACAGAGCTTTAGACAGCATTTTATGTATTGAGAGCATATCTCCCCTTGACTTCAGCTGAGGCTGCAAGTACTTAACAGCTCTGCATTGGTACAATTGAATACCCTGAATTTAGCCCAAAAGCAACAATGAGATCCTTTCCAAAATACATATCATCACGGATCTATGAGAGTGGGAAATAAACATCCAAACAATACACTTAATGAAAACAGGGACTGGGAAACGAGGATGTGCATCAGTTCCATTTCCCCTGTCTCTCTGCAGAGAGCAGGCAGGAAAGCACATTTCATACCTTTTTCTTCTGTTCGATTAGGAAGACATTCTGGCCTTTCAGGAGGTACCTTTTTGATTTCATGCTTTCGATCTGTGGTACCTGTCAAAGAAAGGAAAATTTAGAATTCTGAACAAGCCAACAAACCAGCATATACAGCCACATAAGATTTAATTCAGCAATTTCTTAGGCTTTTTACATTCTCCAATTTGAAAATGTCTTGCTAAAACTGAACATAAATCTAGTTTCAAGTATTTGCTTACACCGTAATGACAAAAAAGCAATTGGATGTTTATGTTTTCACAGTCAAGTTCACAGTTTCCAAAGCATGCACCTCAAAAGAATAGGCACTTTCAGACCATTCTGTGAAAAAAAAAAATTCAGCAAGTACAGGTTTTTAAATGTGGACAGATCCTTTACCATTGTAGACATACTTAACTGAAGAGCAATTCAACAGTGCAGCGAATCATTAGGAATAAATCAATTAATTGGGCATTTCTGTCATGAGAATACTTAATATAGACAAATATACAGGGCTTATTTTACATTAAGTCAAACTCCCCCTCTTTTTCACCGCTAGTACTAGCTGTTCACTTCCACGTATTAGAAGGATGAGAATAGTAGTACTGACAGTATTCTGCATGACTATTTTAATTGACAGCTTTTGGCCTAGAGGTGTAAGCCTCTGCCTTCTTCTGCCTCTGTACTAGAGACCCTGGCATACTGACTTCTGTTGCTATAAGGAATACAGGAACTTGTGGCACTAACAACGGGAAGATTTTGCAAAAATTTCCTGGCATATGCAAGATGCAATTTTCTAGTCCCTGTATTATAAGAAACGCTTTACTGGATATTGGCTTCGCTGCATTGGCTAACTACGAGGTGCTAATGCCATTTCAGCTTAGCAGTGTTGTAAACTGCTTTAGGTAACACTATTAGTATTTCAATAAAAATTACAGTAGATGACATCCAAGAAAAGCAGAGGAGGCAGGGCAGGGAACACAGGGCATTTTTTTGCTTCAATCTATTCTATTATATGCAGTTCTCAAGTACATTTACATTTTCTGAATGCGCTGTCACGACTCTCTTTTGCAGCTGGTTCCTAGAAATCAGTACTCATCAGTGTGAATTGCTCATCAGTGGTGATCACCGGCCATTGTTTCTTTATATAACTGTGCTGTTGGACAGGTAACACTGTATCACTTATCATGTCAGTAAATAATACTGAATTGCCATTTTAGAGTTGGATTCAATGATCTTAAGGGTCTTTTCCAACCTAAATGATTCCATGATTCTATGAAAAATACTTCACTCCTGAGAGGAGAAACTGTTGCTAGAAACCAATTAAAGCCTTTCTAAACACGAGTTATGCAAAGCACAAGTCAACATGCTGATAATTTTGCACATACTAGTGTGTTCAAGAAAAAAAGAGACACAAGTCTATATACCTAAAATTAACAGTCATCATTAACGCACAGAAGGACACTCTCAGGCCATGCCTAAAACAATGAGCCTACAAACACTTAGGAGCTCCCAGTCTCAGGTGTACTCCCTACTTGGGTTGTGACCCCCAAATTGATCAGTACCCAGGCAGGCACCACGATCCTGCCTTAGCTGCCAGGAGAAGGTCACCTGCAAGGAAGCTCTGGTGAACTCCGTACCGGCTCCCAGAGGGACTTGACAGAGTATGCCCATCCTCCAGTCTAGACGCAGTTGTATTGCTCATCCCAGCTACCCAGTGAAATGCCTACTGCTTTTCAATGGCTATGTAAGGGACTCGTGCTCCTAACTTTGACTCTCCAGTTTTCACCTTACTTTGTAAAGTAGCCCAGCACAGACGGCCCTGGCAGTCTCCTGCTGTGCAGAATCTGGAAATACAGCCAAACTTCCAGCTATATTATAATACAAACTAGACACCTCCCTTACATGTGTACTGCTTGAACAACAAAGAACAATTCTAATTCTCTGCTACGATTTTATGCTCTGCATCAGAAGATATGATATTTAATTATTTAGGCTGCAACTGACAGTTCTCAATTTATTCATCACACTATGACCGGTTAAATATGCAGAAACATTACTGGAAATTGTTACCTACTACCAACAGTAAGGCCTGACATGGGGATGTGGTAAAATACAGTGTTATCTTGGTAAAGTGATAATTTGACAAAGTAGAGGATGTCAGGATGGTAATAAACATAAGCTGATTTTCACCTCTAAATACATATCACAAGAAACTCTTGTGCATAATCAGCCAGGACTTGTCAAAGACTGAGTATGAAAACAAAGAACAGCAATAGCCTTGACTTTGCCACAGACTTAGATGGCTTTAATCAAATTGTCTGCATCCTTTACGCGTCCATTTTTCCTTCTGAAAATGGACACATTATCCTGCTATGGTGATGCAGCTAATGTATTGGATGCAAACAGGTATAAATATATTAAAAGTATTATTCTCTAATTATAGGAGTATAAATTGAAAAAAACATAACGTTTTACAGAGCTTTTCCAAATCGTGTGTCAGGCTATAACGTCAGCTGTCACTACGACATCTTTAATGTGCAACCACCACTAGATGGCAAAGTTATACTGCTCTCTCTGGACACTGTTACTGACTGATCTTAAAATCAAATCTATGTTTTAGGAGTCTAAAGACAGAGTGAAGAACAAACCATGGGAGTCAATAAGCAAATCAAATATTTATAGTCATGATTCGTAGTCAAAAAACTGCTTGACAAATTGAAACTAGTTAAATTATAGCCTGTTGATTCACAGTAAATTGTACACTGGTGTAACTTGTTCTTTTATTAATAGATCAAGATTCTAGGAGAGGGAAATTTACTTTTTAAAGCCCTGAAAGCTGGAACAGACCACAGTGACAGGAAAAATAATCTGGCTAGATTGGATGTGTTCGTTTTGTTTTTTTAATGTGTGCCAACAGTGGGGGAAGCGGTAGTGCTGCTACAGAATTTTAACAAACCAACTGGAGTTAAGGGATTAAAGAATTCCAGCCATACTTATGTTTCCACCACAACTGCAATACAAATGAAAACTCTGAGAGCATCCCATGCCTTGTGATTTGTGATTTTACATGAATGGGACAGGAATTTGGTTTCTGAGATCAGAACTGTCAAGTGTGTAGATACTTTAACAGTTTCTAAATTTCATGGAAAAAATTAATCATGCAGGCACTTTTGAAAATTTGTATTGAGAGTTCATTTTAAAACTACAAATAGAAGTGGTTTCAGCTCTCAGTATCTATACACAATTCAGTCCAACATATTCCAAAACCAGCTTTGCCAGCACTCATCCGTTTGGAAAACATAATCAGCCCCTTAATACATCTACAACACAATTATCTACATAACCAGATTCAGGACAACTCCTTTAAGTTTTATACTTATGGTTATAAAGTATTGAAAACCAAGAATCTAACTATGGCATAGAACCTAGAGACAGCCAGCCAGCTCCAGCATTCATGCAGATCTGTAAGATTTAGATTGCAACTCAGATGGGGCCACTGTATTACAGCCAAGTTCTCTGACACTATCTTACAGATATGCAAAAAAAGCTTTTTATCTCTAGAATAAATCAGATCTGTAGGTGTAAAGTAAATGCAGTTTCCTCCTGCAGGTGTTATTAGACTCCAACATATTGGGTCTATACTGCAAAGACATGCGCGCAATCAACTTCAGTCAAGGAACGGAACTGGAGAACTTTTAAAAACTGAAGTATCACGCTCGCTCCAAATTATCATGTTTAAAATGGTGCAGATGGTTGACTGCAACACATTTGAAAAGCACACCACAGTCTTTCAGGGTTATCATCTTCTTGCAATTTGATTCTGATTTATTAGTTGTTGTCTAGACACCTCCTGCTTATCAATTTTGATACAGATTAATTCTACATAAATTTGAATACACTTAATTTAGACTGAGATGTGCTCACTGACATGTGCTGTACAAAATCAGCTGCACCTTACCTGATGCTTGTTTGATGACAGGAGCTGATGGAGGTGGTGGTTTCTTCGGTCTCTAAAATTTAATAACAGAAGAAAGCAGATTGCTTCAGAATGCCTGTAAATCTCATTCATACAGAGGTTGGAGTTAATCATACATTGCTTAACATTAATAATTACAAGACTTGAGACTACAGGTCTGTCACATATTTCCCCTGAAATAACTTCATTTGCAATTGAAATGAGGGGACAAAAAAGGCCAGTTTATGTACTTTAAGATTAGACAAATACACGACCTTTGGTTTACTGAAGAAACCTATTATTTAAAATTTAATCTTCTAAATATTCCAACCCATTTTGGAAAAAAAAAAAACCACCACAAAAAAACCAGCTTGATGTGGCAAAACCCAAAGTGTGTTTTTTCAGACTCATAAATGGGGCAAAAATGCAGAATACAGGAAATGCTGCAAAGGTTACATTTTATGCACTCACTGTGATACATTACACATTTCCAATTGTGAAAGACAATTATCAGAGTTTTAGATGTTTGGTAAAATGAAATAAATTATTCCAATCAATCTGTACTTTTTACTTTTACCTTCTCTGTTATGACCATTTTCCTAATAGAACTGCAATGGTATGGCTGAGAAACATGACCACCAAATCAGTGCCAGAACCATTTCTCTTCACCTGCAGGCTAGGGGAGGAGTGGCTTTCCTTCTGTGTCCATCTGTGTGTACACACACACACCATACTGGCATTCACCATATATATATAGTAATTAATACAAAAACAAATGGAGCACCATGCCAGATCAAATGACATACCTTAACTCTCACTTAAAAAAAATACTAAAAAACCAAAATTATTGAGAATAAAGCCTAAGTAAAAATTAGTAATTGTTTTCTTCATATGTCCATCCTTTTTTCTGAGAAGGACCTTATTTCCTTTGCTACAGATTGATCACAATCACTGTCACTACATTGCTGGCTATGCAACACTGTATATTGTCCTGTGGAACTATCTATAAGATGATAGATTGTTTGCCAAACTTCAACCAACTATTTAGGTTGGTATTTTCTATCAAACTCATGTTGATTTTTTTCCCCCTATTGTTCTCTATATATCTGCCAAATGGCTCAAGAAAGATCAATAGTTTTGCTCACTTGCAGTAATTAGTTCAGCCTGTGCCCTAGAACTCTCAAGTCTTAGTCTGAATGTTGACAGGGAGCCGGTTTTCTGTCACGGCGGAGCCCTTGCCACTCACCCTTCCTGGGGGATCTCTCTCAAATCTAGCAAATGGATTCATCTCTGGAGAAAAAAAAAATACCAGTTTTGCACAGACTGAGTAAACCTGACAGCTTAAATCTCTGAAGTTGCTATCCTGCAAGCCTCAGATTTCTCCTACCACCTTATCCTAACCACATCAATCTGAGAAAGCTGTGGCCGGGAACTCAGGAGCTCAGAATGATCCGCTGTAGCCTGGCTGCCGTGGATCATCGTCCCTGAACAGTGGGTCCCTTATACTCTCAGAGACACTTCTGCAAGAATTTAGACAACATGGTTCAAGGTTTAAATGCAGAAAAGTGCAGAAAAATGTAGAAAGGAAAGAAGACAGGGACAATGAATGTCTTGTAATAGCAATTGGGGGTTTGGTTGATAACGGCTGCAGAGTGAAATAGTTGGTGCTGAGAATCCAACAGCACAATATACACATTTAGGGTTTCACTGTGGAGTGGTGTGAGCCTGATCCCATTGACTGTCCGTATGCCAGCAGTCGGAATATATGAGGTGCGCTCCTTTAGCACATCTTTTGGCTTAGTTCTCATCTGAAAGGAGTCTAGTTCATGTCTAGAACTGGCTGGACGGCCGAGCCCAGAGA